ATTCTTCGCTGTTTGCAAAGTTTGATTCTTTCAGTTTTTACATATGCTATTGAGGTCTGGGGGTGTGCTTTTTATAGTAAATATTTAAGTAGAATTGATAAGCTCTTTGCCAGGTGTTATAAGCTGGGTTACTGCTTAAAGCAACACAGTATCTTGGATATCCGTTGTAATAGAGATAAGAAATTATGGCAAAGGATCTCTTCCACCAACACTGCGTTGAGCGCTCTCTTACCTCCCCAGAGAACACGGCAGTTGAGAACCAGGTCGCATAATTATATTTTGCCTAAGGTCCAGACAAGCCGTTTTAAATCAGTTTTTATTAATAGATGTCTTTCAATAGTAATTAATACCTTTTCTTTTTCCTTATTCATTTTATTCATGTTATTCATGTTAATTGTAGCACGTCTGTTTGCACAATAATTAATAAAGACCTTTATTATTATTATTATCATTATTATTATTATTATTATTATTATTATTATTATTATTATTATCAAAATTCCCTGACACACTTTCCTTCGTCATTATCCCTGGAATGTTTTGGCGAAATTTCACAAAAATCGATCAAATCTACAAACCTTATAAATTCGCTCAAAGTATATGTATTCCTCTTAAGATCAAATGCGAGATTTCAGCTCCTAAAGGTTTGTAAACAATTAGTGCCACACCAAGAGATTATGTCGCCTCTTAAAACCGCGAAATAATGGGAAGAGTGGAACTCCTTGTGTCAGTGACAATGAATCAAGATTTTTCCAGGAAAAGTAGCGCACAGCAGTCACGTTTTTTTTATCTCGCTCTGTTGAAATGAGTTCCCTCTGGAAGGTTTATTCATAATTTCATACGATTCGAAGTGATTTCCTATGTTTTTGTATCAAGGCCGGTCCTTGCTAAGTGAAAGGAAACTTCTTTTTTAACCCTCTGTACGACAAATGTTGATCTGATGGCCCCCTCTTCATGTTCGCAATTTGGATGCCGGCGTGGAAAGGAATGCCAGGACTGTTTTTTCCTGACAAAATTGTTTCCATTTCTCTCTTCTTTGGGCCTGTTTTTTTCTTTTCCTTCATTCAAGGACTCCTCTTTAATTTTGATTTTGTTTTTTGTCCACGAGAAAAGACTGCCTTTAGCAGAGAACTTCCTCGTGTGAATTTTGCCGAGTGCGCACTAGATACAAAATATGCATTGAAAATGAAATGCCGTGAATATTCCCCTAGGGGTTCGCCATTTACGAGATTATGAAACCTTCCTGTTCATTAACTTTGATTTGAAAATACGTTTTCTAAATAAGTCGGACGCTTTTTAAGATTTTTTCATTTTTCTTTTTGTGAACGTTAGGTAAAATGTCTGACTTCAATCTAGTCCAATAAAAGAAAAAACGATTTTTTCGGCCTCTGAAGGTGGGAAGTAACCTGAATGCGGAATTCCCTCGTCAAGTAATGAATTATCCAACAATAGTTACATTCAAAGTTTTGTTATTACAATGTCAGCGATTTTGTCACGAGGTACTATGTAAGTCCTTATTAAAATGAAGAACAACTTCTTCCCCATGATTCTGCCACGAGAAAAAGTTTATTACCCAGCTTAGTAATACGTGAATAAGAGCCTATTGACAACGGGATGATTGTAAATCATTTTTTTTTATCAATTTATCACCTTTAATGTGTGAACTACATCCAATTTTGAGAGGACAAAACGGCTTTGTAATGACTGCTAGAAGGGAGAAAATATCTTTCGTAATTGGGTGTAATTCCATGGCACATTCAGTTTCTCGGCACTCGCTGCCAAAAAGCTGTAATGTCGTCTCTAAATCGGAGCAATTTTGTCCGTTTATCGATTAGGCGGGTAAACTAAATTAGGCTTAACTGTGCTGGTAAAAAACTTAATATTTCCTACCAAAAAGTATCATGGTGATATCTTTGTGTAAACTGTTTTATTCCACCATGTTATTGAAAGAAGGATATTTTCTGTCTTAAAAATTGCTCACTTAAATAAATATAATGCAGGAGGAGTAGCGGTAAAGAAATACTCAAGGTGCAATCGAGTCGAAAAAATCTTCTGAAAAGTACTAAACATTTGGAAAAATGCATAAATTACATAACAATGTGCTACCATGCAACTTCAGGAAATGTTTCCTCACAACAGTTTCATTGTCATGAAGAGCATGTCTGAATGTATTTATACTACTTAAAGGGAAGCACTCTCTAGAAAAAGCTGGGTTACAGTCACTCATGAGCAACACTAGGTTACACTGCGCCCATGGGTGTGCCACGGTGCCAGCTAAACTTCAGCCTATGTTAGTTATCTTTAACTCAATAAAACACTGGGTTACACTGCACCCATGGGTGTGCCACCTTAAGTGCAGCCTATGTTAGTTACCTTCGACTAAATGAAACACTGGGTTACACTGCACCCATGGGTGTGCCACCTAAAGTGCAGCCTATGTTAGTTACCTTCAACTAAATGAAACACTGGGTTACACTGCACCCATGGGTGTGCCACCTAAAGTGCAGCCTATGTTAGTTACCTTCAACTAAATAAAACACTGGGTTACACTGCACCCATGGGTGTGCCACCTAAAGTGCAGCCTATGTTAGTTACCTTCAACTAAATAAAAC